AACTAAGCCATAATCCTGCCAGTGTTTTAACATCATGGAGTTCATTTAATTTAGTTAAATATGGTGCTTGTTTAATTTAATTGGTTATTTATCAGTATGTTCGTAGTTTTGGGTTCTTTCTAACATATGAAACATTTGAACTGTTATGGCTTTCACTCCCACCTAAAGCATAAATTAGAGTGTCGCCAATTTTATTATTACAGAATTATTTGAGTAGTAATTCAAGAAATTTTGTTTAAGGTGACCCAATTTTCTTGATTCGTAAAAAAAAAATTGTTTAAGAAAGCAGACTGACAATATTGATAACAAAAGATTTCTTACACTGTTGCCTGTTTTATAAGTTCTTTTTTCTCTTTTTCCTGTTGTTCCATCCTTTGAAGACGTGCATCGTGTCTCCATCGGAAAAGACTTGGAGTATCAATGTTAGGGTGAGTGTCATCCTCATCATCTGACACCTGTAACAAAAATAACATCCAGTTTCAATCATGGTACACTGACCAAATTTTGAAGGAACTGCAGACGGGAGCTAATATTTCAGATGCCAAAGTCAATTTTCATTTTTTGGAATTAACTTCATGCCATTAACTTCATGCTAAATGGTTAATTGAAGCTGTGCAGTCTATTGAAATTGCAGGGAATTGTAAGAGAGCTTCCAACTTGCTGGCATTACAGATCAACTGAAGCCACTTCGCGAACATGTGGAACAAGGTGACAGTCATATGAATATTGCCTTTTTTCTAAAATCTCCCTTTTTTAAAACCAGAATTCAGATGAATACATTTTCATTCACTAGTCGTGTATTACTAGTATAACATACAGAAGATAAACTTCATGTCTGAACTTGTTTTTATAAATTTTACGGTGCTGTCACGCTGAGGTGTCAGATTTTAGACAAGTATTTTTCAAGTTTTTAACTAATATTTGTGTAAAAAAAAATATTCATTTTTTTTAACAATGAAATAACAACATTAAATGAATACTTTTTTTACACTGCTTGAATGACGTAAATGCGAGTGTTGTGTGGTGCGTTTGGTACATGGCAGTAATACAAAATACAGCGCCACCAGGAGCGAAATTAAAATAAATACCAGTAACCCCTAAACGAAATTTTCATGCATTTTAATTTTAGTACAGAGAGCCACCTCCCCGAACCATGCAAAAAATAAACTGCGCAAATAATATCTTGTTCAACGGTATTTTGTTGGTTGCTTAAACTGTTTGTAACGTCTAAATTAGAACCAAATTTAGGCCTTTCACTCAAATTTCTATTTCCCATTACACATTGACGAAGTACTAGGAATTGTGTAGCAATGGTTAACACATTGTCTGCTGACACCTTTTTTTTCTAAAACAAATAGGCTTTCAGTAGACAATGTAGTAAAGGCCTCCACAAACCACTATGGGCAAAATTATGGAGGTGTGGCAAGTTACTGGCTGACTGTTAAAGTGATAAGAGAGGTGTATAAATAAACACAGAAAACCTGCTGATAAGCAGTTAATGGAGGGTAATTTATTTGCTGACAGTGTTACATAAAAGTGATTGACAATAGTTCATTGACAAGGAAGGGACTAAGATTTCAAGGACATCTTGATTAAATAATCATCATAAATACCAGTACTATGGTATTTTGCAATCCCTGTTAAATCATAGACAGTATATAGTGTATTCTACTATACTGTCTATGGTTAAATATGTAGATTTAGTGGAATTCTCCTCATAGATGTTGCATGTAGAATGGTTTATGATTGCATTTGTTTATTTTGTTTTAGCCAACTTTACACATGTACATAACCACCCACTCACTATCACAAAGAACATTATGGCAGGGATAAACAAGCCCCTATCACTGGATACCATCAGATAAAAAGATGTTTGATATTGCACTAGCTACTAAGTGTCCTTATCAAAATGTTTTACTCAAAGCTACAAACAACAATCAAAGTTGAGCCCCATGGAGAATGGTAGAAAAAACAGGCTGCATAGTAACATCATACAATGTAATACATCATACATCCAAATTAGCATCGACAGGCAATTCCCTGCCTTAGTCGATAAGTGCTTCCCGACAAGGAACAATCTCATAAAAATTTTAATAGAAATACAATCACAGTTAGCTATACTAATATGCGTCCCATATCAAACATGGCATGGTGTGATGACTATATATCACTTTAAAGCAGGGGAGTTGTCACCTGCGCATGGGTCAGATGGCCATAGCGTGTCATTGTTTACACACAAGCGTCTACCCATGAGCCTTTGCGTTTTTAGCATGTGTTGTTATCGTCGCTTGGGACTCAATCCCGTGCGCACGCAGGTGATGACCCTCCCGCTTTAAACGTAACTAATGAAATAAATACATATACAATAATAATAATTTGTACTACTATACAGGGAAGAGATCAATATTAATTAATAACAGGCAACAGAGAAAAATATTTTCGATTAGCAGTGAATCAAATGAGCTTCGCAACTTCCTAAAAAAATGTGACTTTGAGCAATAATTTCAGTAATTTATACCCAAATATGGGGGTAGTTAATAACAATGAAAGATACTGGCAACATTTGAGGGATCACGCCATACTTGTAGCTTTGTTTTTGAGAATAAGCTAAGTCTTGAAGAATTGTGCAGGAAATGTTTGAGAGACTATGACACAACTTTATCCTTGATAATAGTAATAATAAAGTTACCACATTCATTGTTTTAATGCTATATTATAATTGTGCCATATATATAAATGTCATAAAAAAGAAATACTGTGGAATACTTTATTTTCGCTGGAATTAATTTTCGCTGAAAAGTTTTTTGGGCGTTTTGTATGGAATTTATTTTCACTGATTTTTGATGAGTTTAATGTGAAATATAAGAAAAAAAGTATATTCGCTGGATTTTATTTTCACGGAATCATACCTTCAGAGAAAATAGCGAAAATAAATTCCAAGCGAAAATAAAGTGTTCTACAGTAGATTAATTAAAATTAAATTCATTCACCAACACAAAGAAATCTTCCCACACACATTGGTCCGCTAAGGGAACAGGGAAGCATAGACATAAGAGTACTGCAACAGAACAGTGCAATGAAGTTCTAGAAAGTTCCTGTATACTCGTGATAATTATATCATTACGACTTCCACAAAAGCAACACTGTCAAGACGTGTAGATTGAAATCACATTTACAGAAGGTTTTGGGAGTAAAAAAAAAAAAAAAAAACACTTTCATATGACGTCATCAATGGTGTAAATACGGAGGGGAATCCCACAAACAAAGCCATTTGAGAAAACAACACATGACGTCGTACTTCGATCTACAAAGTACCCGCGATATAAACGTATGCAACACAGTTACCTGTGAATACCAATGAATCTGGTGTACAATAAATATATACACGATCTTTCTGATTGCAGTTTATCAATGTCGCCGACTTTATAGAGAAATACACAAAAATTCACCCACCTCAATATGATCCCATTTACTGTAGTCCACCATTTTGTCTTTTACCTTACCCAACAATCATTGCGAGTTGAGGGCGCTCATACACTCCCCTGGAAACTACTATTTAACATGAAAATGCAATTTAGTTTTGGCCCTCTGAATAAAATAATACATGTAGTTTTCTCATGCTCACTAGCAAAATTACCGATAAAATTAATCGATAAAATCGTTTTCGCAATTAATTATTAATGATTTTCCTCACTTCCCGTGTTCTCTCGCGAGATGATGCGAGACTTTATCCATAAGTAAAATGGACCCATTCGAGAGAACATCGATTGATACAATCCTCCACTGAAAACAACAATTTACTGCCGCAAACATGACGAGTACGACGCAAGCCCCTGGCAGATTTGCTGAATATTTTGTTGTCTGTGGCCTAGACATATCATCAGGACTTGAACCCGATCAGCTCTCCGGTAAGTCGAATAATAATAATTTGATGTGATGTATGTATTTTATCAAAACCAAACTTGTTGACAAAATCAGCTGAGCGCGTCACTCGCTGATAAACATCACCAAAACACACATTCATGATTCTATCGAACAGCATGAAATTTACCCTATACACAAAAACCCAAAATGTTCACTGCGTGGATATTAATAATGACAAATATTAAAACTACACAAGTAATAATTTTATCAGCCAATTTCACGAGACAAACAGGAAGTCGAATCGTTTCACCGTCTTGTCTTTCCACTTTCGCAGAAATTATGTTACAACTTACGAAGTTCTTTCATGTATAGTGGCATTTTCTGAGCCTTGTAGAATTTGACTAGGCAATCACTGGCCGTTGTCAGCATAAGTGTCTACAGTAAACAACAGTTTAACACATTTTTTTTATTTAAATCCGAGATAATTGCCCAACAGCAATTTGCCTTTTTACCTCTACTTGCACTTGAAGTTGTATCGATAAATATAATTACCGCACGGAAGTAATTATGAAAAAATATTTATACGGTTTAATTTTGTTTTTTCATCAGTACTTTTATTTAACTGTCACATTTGTTGATTCTAGTGTCAGCGAGCACCTTAGTCCCTCTATGTGCTACTTTGTACCACATATTATAACAGTATTCCCTTTTCTTTTTATGTCCTGATGGAGGTCATTTAAAAAATGGTGAACCTAAATTATGTACTAGTATTCTATTTTGTTGCCTTAAAGTTTTTATCACATTGAATATTGCAAATTTTGTTTATATTATTTTTTGATATATTGCCTGCTGTTCGAGAAACCTTCCTGGGCACTCTTTTCCAAAGTCTGTCTTGCGTCATTAACAACAATTCTCAGCTCCAGCTGGGTGAACAATACATGTAAACAAAAGTACTGTAAAATACTTTATTTCTGCTTTGAATTTATTTTCGCTGATGGGATGACTCAGTGAAAATAAAATCCAGCGAATATACCTTTTTTCCTATATTTCACATGCAACTCATCATAATCAACATAAAAAACAGTCAAAAAGTCTTTTCAGCAAAAATGAATTCAAGCTAAAATTAAGTATTTTACAGTGTACAATTAGGTGTAGACCAAACATTAAACACATACATGTAACATAACTGTATCTAGATTTCAGTATCAAATGTTTGCTAGTTGGACCTAGCATTTGATATTTACAGTTTTTGGGATGCTCCCTAAAATTTACACTGTCCAAAAACTAATAACACAAAGTTTCTTACTTTTGATTCTGAAAAGACATTTTTCCTAATTTATATGAAATTTATTTTCACTGAATTTTGATGAGTTGAGTGTAAAATATAGGAAAAAATTCATTTCTTTAGCAAAAAGAGCAAAAATAAATTCCAAGTGAAAATATTTCAGTATTTCATAAATAGCACACAAAAATAAATACCAGACAGAGTTATTTACATTTATTTCATACAAAATACTGGTCTATGTAAATTTATGATTAATTTATCAAAATATGTCAAAACTAAATATATTTTTTTTTTTTTTCTGGTATTTGTAACAAAAACATGTTGTTGCCTAGTGCACTACTACAGACTGTTATTTTGGGGTTCAATTCATATTTTGTTTTCAGATTCTTGTTTGCACGATGAGATGTTTCTGCTGCAGACAAGTGGTTCTACGTCATAGTACATTTGCCAGCTGTTCATGTTTTCAGCTTCTCAAACTGTTAGCAGTCAAACATGATTAAATATTTCCATTAATATTTTCTGGAAAGCCAAAAGGATTTTTTTTTTCAACTACTGTATGTGTTTCGGCACTACTACATAAAATTTCAAATGTTGTCACAGCCAGTGTTAAGTTGTATTCTAATTTCTACGTATATTTATTTGGTACCAGAAAGATTTAACCTTTTCACCACCAGACTTCCTCGCCCAAAATTTTCTGCATTTTTTTTTCTTATATTTTTCAATATATCCTGAAATAAACCCTAATTTCGGAGTCAACAGATTTGAGTCAATTTTCAGTTTTTACTCAATAAATGTGGCTACTTTTGTCCAAATCTGCTGAAGGAAAGTGCAGACTATAAACAGGACTATTTTGTGAATTTGTGATGAAAAGAGGGAATTATATTTAAATTATAAAACACAGCTTTTCCGGACTCGTTTGAATTTCTTCCATCATTATCTTTGACATTTATAGATATGATTGCTTTGATGTCGCACTTACTGTCTTCAAAATGAAAATAATCTCTTCTTAATGTCAATCAGTTTATAGCAGTATTTTTAGGAAATTTGACCTTAAAATTATAGTTCCAGAATATTGAAGTTAATTTGTACTGTATCATCTCCTTGGGAGACATACATTGTAGAAATAGTTTGTTATAATGAAGAGTTCATTATAATGAAGCATATAATGCATTACGTTTAATATGAGCAAAACACATGCGATGTAATCATTACATCAACTTGATCAAGAAATTCATTGTAAAGGTGTTCATTATAACAAGGCTATGGCATAATAATATGTTTATTCCGTACTGTAGAACACTGGCCCAAAAGTAAAATAGTAATATCATTAAATAGACCAAAAAAATGAGGGAGCACACAATATACAGAATATATACAAAATAATTATTATATTCTGAAAAGTGTGTCTCACATTTATTTAATTTAATGTGAATCAGTCAACTATGTTTTCTACTATCATTGTTGGGTGTGGTGCTCTACATACTTTGGCTACCATGTAAGATCATGGCAAGTCAATTATTAGTTGACTCATATTGGGTATCATTTTGTTACAAATTAATACCCTCTTGAATTTGTTACAGACCTGACACACACTGTATATGTGCCACTGTACCATGTACTTACATATATACATCTATGTATTAATTCCAAGCTAAAATAGTGTTTTACAGTAAAATGAAAAAAATTTGATTTTATGAATCTTGTCAAAAGTTTACATGGCACTCAAGTATTAAACATGTGTTTTTGATGTTTGATACCCTTTTCTGAGGGTGATAGTGTGATAATTTTAAATGATGACAACTTTTACAGAATGATTTATCATTGTAGTTGTGTAGCCAGTACCGGTACTAGAACTTTATGGAGACATCAATGGCAATTGCTATAATTACAAACGAGTTTGCCTTTCGATATTACTGATATCATTCCTATATTGCCTAGGGAATTTTATTAATTTTGGCCTTGAAAATGTATGCCCTTTCAACTCAGGAGCCCTGCCAAATCTAATATAGTTTCATTAATGGCATAGTGAAGCGTTGGTGAAAGCCCTGAAGTATGTAAATGAGAGATAATTAAAAACAAGAAAATGATAATGATATTCAGCATTGATTCACACTTGCGCCCATGCTGCAAATTAGATAGAAGCGGATTTGTGTTTGATTCATTCTAATTTTAACATATAAATTGGATTTGAATATTTAAATTTACACCCACGTTGTGATCAGAAATAACTGCTTTTACTTTTTTCCTCTTCTTATATTAATCTGCGCAAATTTGATTTCAATGAAGGACAGTTTTTTCTTGGTAAATTAATTGACTGTTTCTTTTCTGTTTTCTTTGATTTTTATTGAAAAGTGATATTGAGGCTGTTCTAAGTTGTATCCATCCACCCTCTGTGTAGCGTTATTGTTCAGTTGATAAAGGTAGCCTTTGACCTGTATAAGGATGAGGCTTTTGTATCTTCTTTCCGCATTTCTAAAAGCTGTGTTGTCATAGTTATGGAATGTGTCACAGTTCTTTGTCATGACTACCATGTCTGATTTAGACATGTAGTTTCTTCCAACAATAATTACTCTGTTATGAAAATTAATATTAAATACCATATTTGCTATATTAGGTGTTTTATAAATCAAAATGATTCCATTATGCAACAAATGCGATTTTAGGTTAATATGTGCTTCTATTGGAGATGTAGTTTTAATAAAGAAATAAGGTGTGTGTTGTTTAATTTTAAATTAGTTTACTTAATGAAATAATGAAGTACATGTATAAATTATATCAATATGTTAATTTATTTTAATAACTTCATCCATCATATATCTACATGTAAAGTACTGTAAAATGACTAATTTTCACTTGGTTTAAATTTTGCTGATTTACCATTTCAGGCTTATTCATTAGGTTTTAAATTAACAGTTTTATCATTTAGATAATGTGTTCTACAAATGTACATGTATGCTAAATTTTAAATATTCACTGGGTTTTTTCCAGTCAGCAAAATAAGCAAAATTAAAACCCAGTGAATAGTTAACCCCTTTACAGTACATACATGTATGAGCGAGTCCTCTTTGCTCACAAAAATGCATTTCCTCAATATTTCAATTTTGTTAAAATCCCAAAGCTATATATAATATTAGTCACTTTGCCCCCCCCCCTCCCCCCCGTACAGTATGATGTCATTTATATAGAAAGAGTGTCCTGTCATGTATATGTAGTCCCATATGGTATCTGTTGCTAAATGTAATGTACTTTTAGCATTTGTTTTGAATTTCCTTATAAAAAATAACAAGGCTTAAACCTCACACGGGTATTCACTGTCATTCAATGCTACAAAACAAAATTAATTTAAAAACAAATATTCAAAATTTGTTATCTATAATTAACAACGAAATTATAAAAAAATATGCTTAATTGTTTTGCTGTTCACTGGAAAATTATTCACAAGAAGGCGATAAAATTATTAATATTAAAGCGCGGTGGTCGTCGCGCAGCGCGTGTTTTGAATTTCATGTAAATAAACAATGTATTTTACACACGTTATATACGTCGCTATGAGTTCCATATCGAACAGGACGCGGCGCGACGTCTGCCCCCCCTTTAACTCAGGGTAATGATGGGACTTGTGGAGAATGATATGCGTTTAATGTTGGTATTAAACTTAACATACAATGTACAAAATGTAGTATTATTATTTCATACAAAGACGGATTTTGTCACGTTCCAGTCTTTCTTAAACTGTTGCATTGTGACAGCGACCTTCCA